AGTTTTAATATAATTTAAGCACTTAAATTAATAAGTAGAGTGCAAACAATACAAATATTTTATCATTTGGGTCCTAAAACTACCCAGACTTAAGCTTAATTAGTAGCTACGCACGGACTCTCGTCACCTCGTGCATGCGTAGCTCCCACAATTAGAAGCAAATAGTAATTTAAAACACATATGGGGTAAATTCCCTCTTACAAGGTTAAGCAAGAGACTTACCTCATCTCCAAACTCACTTTCCGGCCCACAAATTCACTCTAAGGCCTCAACTTGGTGCCGAACAATCCGAAGCTAGCCAAATATTATATAAATTAATCAATATACACTCAAAAGTTAATAATTTAGCTATTAGAGTAATTACTAACCCAAATTGGAAGATTTCTAAAATTCACCCTCGGACCTATGTGCCCGGATGTCACGACCCAAAATCCTAACATGTCGTGATGGCGCGTATCTCAATACTAGGCAAGCCGACAATACCAATAACCCACAAATATTGGAAATAAACACACTCTCAAAACCCGCTGTCACTGAGTACATGAGCATCTATACATTACAAGTCTGGGAAACCCAGTTTATAATAATCTTAGACCAAATACAATAAACAAAAGGATAGGGAAGGAGAGACAAGGTCGGCGAAACATAGCAGCTACCTCTAAATCTCTGAAAAATCAATTGTGGGAAAGAATCAACACTCACTGTATCCGGGGTCACCTGGATATGCACACGAAGTGCAGGGTATAGTATGAGTACAACCAACTCAGTAAGTAACAATAATAAATAAGGAACTGAAAGTAGTGACGAGCTTCTCAGCTAAGTCCAAATACAGTACTTTCCAACATAAAAGGGTAGGCATGCTCTCAAGTTCAACATTTAAAATTTTACAGTAATTTCATATCAATTTTGACTGAAACAGAAAATAATATTTTTTCAAAATTTCCAAAATAGTGATATATGACAGCTGAAATGCAGCAAATAATGAAATTAATGCATCCTCTCAGAGTAACAGTCACTCAGTCCTCCCGTTCACTCCAACCTCACAGTCACTCTTTCCTCACAGTCACTCATTCCTCATAGTCACTCGGCACTCGGCACTCGACACTCGGCACTCGCACTCAGTAGGTACCTTCACTCACCGGGGTTGTGTACAGACTACGGAGGGGCACCTTCAGCCCAAGCGCTATATCAAGCCAATCATCGCATAAATCAATGAAGCATGTTGCGGCATGCAGCCCGATCCCATAAATATCCTCAAAATTAGGCCCTCAGGCTCACTCAATCATCAACCTCTCCAGTCTCTCGGGCTCTCAAAAATTATGATAATCAGCCCAAAAATGATAATATGATGTATTAATAAATAGCAACAGAGACTAAGATATGATATGAAGTGAATAAACATGACTGAGTGTGAAATTACAATTTGAACATATAATCCAACCATACAAATAACCTCAGTGGATACCAATACTAACAGCATATGTCTAAGCATGATTTTTAATACGAGTCTCAACTCAATTTTCTCTAACACATAAAGAATGTACTGGTATCAACAGATTATTCAACTACACAATTCCATGGAATTTGACCAAGTCACAATTCCTACGGTGCACTCCCACACGCCCGTCACCTAGCATGTGCGTCACCTCATAACTAATCACATAACACACAATCCGGTGTTTCATATCCTCAGGACCAAATTTAGAACTGTTACTTACCTCGAACAGTGTAATTCTCACTCCGTTATTCCCTTGCTTCAAGAATTGGTCTCCGAAAGCCTCGTATCTAGTCACAATTAATTCGTTTCAGTCAATACAATTTATTGAAATTAATTCCATAAGAAAATACTAATTTTTTAATAAAATCTGAAATTTAACTCAAAAATTATCTGTGGGACCCACATCTCGGAACCCGACAAAAGTTATAAAATTCGAAAACACATTCAACCACGAGTCTAACCATACCAATTTTACCAAAATCCGACCTCAACTCGACCCTCAAATCTTCAAATTAAATCAAGAGGTTTTTTTTTAAAATTTTCCAACTTAATTCACCCATTAAATGTTAAAAACAACCATGGATTCGGGTAATTTAACCAATATTGAGTTAAGAACACTTACCCCATTATTTTCTCTAAAAATCTCCCAAAAATCGCCTCTATCCGAGCTCCAAATCGGTAATTGCGACAAAAATTTCGCATTTGCGAATGAACAGTACCTCCTATGAACAGTGTTCGCAATTGCGACAAATTGTTCGCAATTGCGAGTGAACAGTGTTTTCGCAATTGCGATAAATGGTTCGCAATTGTGAATGAACAGTGTTTCGCAATTGCGATAAATGGTTCACAATTGCGAATGAACAGTACCTCACAAGAAACCAACAAACTCAAACTTCTCCGAAATAATCTGAAACCACCCTGAAACTCATCCGAAACCTCCCGAAATCCTTCCGAACCCGAATCAACTAACTCGGTAAGTCATAAAATAATTGTAAAGTATAACTTGAGCAGTAAATGGGAGAACGGGGTTATAATACTCAAAATAACTAGCCAAATCGTTACACCGAATTCCGAAAATTTTTGAAGATAAATGTCACCCATAACCTCATGAACTCAAATATATAATTTTCACCCAATTCCATAATCATTTTCGTGGTTAAATCTTATTTTTATCAAAACCTAGGTTTTTCAACTAAGCCCACAATTCCTACACTTTATGTATTAAGAATCTACCTAAAATGCATGTATTAAACTCATCCTATATAGAAATTACTTACCTCAAAGTTCTAGGTGAAAACCCCTCTTCAAAGAGCTCCAAAATTGCCCATGAGATGAAAGAAATGAGCCAAAATAGCCTAAGTCCCGATATAAATGCACTTCACTACCTCCTAGCGATTTTTGCACCTGCGGAAGAATCTCCGCTTCTGCGGGACCGCTCCTGCGGTTGATTGTCCGCATATGTGGAACACGTACGAGCCACGACCAGCCGCACCTGCGGCCAAGTCTCGCATCTGCGAGCCCGCTTCTGCGGCTCACCTCGCGCACCTGCGACCATGGGCAGGCTGCCTCTCTCCGCATATGCGGACCCCTTCATCGTAGAAGCGAGTTCGCTTCTGCAGAAATCCTTCGCTTCTGTGGACCTCGCTAACTCTCCTCCATTCTGCTTCTGCGAACGAGATGCCGCACCTGCGATGCCGCTCCTGTGGCCATTCCCACTGCAGGTGCGAACGCACCAGATGCCATCCACCTCCAGCTCTTCTCCAACAAGTTCGTAAACATAAAACGGACTCGCTCTAACCCTCGGAATGCGTAAAACCACATCAAAACTAATAATCACACTCCAAAACCAAATCGAATCAACTTATGAACTTCAAGTTCTTCCAACTTGCTCCGAACGCGCCGAATCATACTTAAACTACTCGGAATGACACTAAATTTTGTGTGCAAGTGACAAATCACCATACGAAACTATTCCAAGGCTCAGAATCCCAATCGGACCTCGATAATACCAAATCCTATCTCAAACCAAATTTAAAGAACTTGAAAGCCTTCAATGCGCTAACTTCCAATATTAAGCGCTGAAATGCTCCCGGGTCATCTGAAACCCGATCCAAATATACGCCCAAGTTTAAAATCATCATACAAACTTATTGGGACCGTCAAATCCCGGTTATGAGGTCGTTTACTATAAAATATTGACCCATGTCAAACTTAACCCTTTTAAGCCAATATTAAGGAACTAAGTGTTCAGATTTCAACCCGAACCCTTCCAAACCCGAACTAACCATCTCCGCAAGTCATAAAATAGTAAAAGCACATGCAGGGAGTCTTATTTAGGGGAACAGGGATCTAGAAAGCAAAACAATCGGTCGGGTCGTTACAGTTTCGTTCTTAGTTAAAGATAAAAAAAATAAACTAAGGGGGCGTGGATTACTAATTAGCAAAGTTCACGGGCAAAATTGACTTTTTTCCTATATGTTTTTCACGCGTCACACTTACGTGGAAATTTAAACTAATCAACATAAATAAAATTTGGCAGGTAGAGCTCTGTTAGTAATAAATAGCATAAATGATACTTTTAGGTAACATCATGATCCTTTCTAAAGCAAATTCACTACTAGAAAATATTAGAAAACCGTCCAGGAATATCAACTAAAATCGGTCGGAAAACTGAAAAAATCGATCGATTTTTGACCGACTTTAATTCGTCGAAATAAGACTGGTCGGTAATAAATAGCAATCGTAGTCGGTCGCAATTACCGACCGATTTTGGTCGGTCAATTAAATTTCACAAACGATCAAAAAAGAAAAAATCTGCCGAGAAAAACGACCGAAGTTGGTCGGTATTTTTCGACCGAATTCAGTCGGTATTTTTAATTATGTAATTAAAAAAAGCACCGTCTGGAATCAAACCAGGGCCTGTACTATAGCAGGATACTATTCTACCACTAAACCATAAGTACATTTTGGTTTAAGACTTTATTTTATTTTATTTGTACTCTTTAATTATATTTTTGCGTAAAAATAACTGACAGATTTTGGTCGGTTTATTAAAAATATAAAATTACCAATCGAAATAGGTTAATTTTTTTAAATGACCGACCGAAATTACCGACCGACTTCCGTCATTTTTTTAATATTAATATTAATTTATTTTACATGAAAAACTGATTAAAATTGATCGATTTCTTAAAAAATAAATTTCGCGGGATGGCAAAATATTCGACCGAAGCTGATTGGTTTTGTAAAAAAAAAATTTAAAATAAAATATTTTAAAAAATTGACTGACTTCGATCGATTTTTAGGTCTATTATTTGACCGACCGAAGTCGTTCAGTCGGTTACGATCGATTTTGGCCGAATTTCTAGACTTTGGTCGGTCGCCGTCCATTTTGACCGAATTTTTAGTAGTGATTTTTAAGCGAGGACATGAATATATTAATTTCACAAAGTTGAGGACTAAATTTGAACTTTCTCCCCATCGCTATGGACTCATTCTATCATACATGCAATCATTCATAATTTCATTTACACACCTTTTGGAAGTCCATTCCCAATTCGAAACAACATACAAATAAAAAAATTTAAAACAACAAAAAGGATAAGAAGAAACGAAAAAGGAAAGAAAACAACAAGAAGAGGAAAATTAAAAGCCATGCTAACTAGATGGGTGGCTAGTGTCCAAATCAACACTAACCTCCACATCCACCACAACCGCCGCCGCAACCACCGCCGTTGACACCACCGCCACCACAACAACAACCGTGGTTCGCACCAGAATTATCCGTACCACCACCTCCAACTGCCGCTCCACAACCACCACTAATATTGCTATTACCCTTCCGTTTATCTTCAGTCCTGCTACTTGCCACAGCTGCAGCAGCCGCAGTGCCGGCTACTGCAGCACCAGCCCCGGCCAAAACAACCATATTCCCGTCTTTTGTGCCGCCGTAATAGCTAGTGGCGCTCTTCTTCTTTGTACCTATTTTTACGTCAGATCCTTTTGGCTTCTTAATCCTACCTCGGCCGGCGCATAAGCAGCAGTATAAATTACAAGCCGTGAAAGCCATAGAAGCGAAGACTATGAAGACTATAACGTATACTTTCATATTCTATCCTCCTTTGAATTGATAAACGAAGAGGACAATTGCCTCTTTATATTCAACTCCTTGTATTGACTTTCTATTTAAAAACCTAGCGATAAAGTTAAGTTACGATTCAGGTTTTCTTTATCTATCTAAGTAATTTACGATGAAGTTCATAGTGCATATTCTTTTTGAATTTAACTTACATATGCTGACTAAGTTTAAATTTTTTTTTTACATGCACTATCATAATTCATATGTATTACTAACATGTTACTCCTATAACAAGTAATTTATTTTATTACTTTTAGGCTACTAAATTAAGTTGATTATCATTAAAGACAAAAATTAATGGCGGACAAATTTTACTGCTAATAGCAAAAATCCATTGCTAATCACATTTAAGGACTAATTATCAGAAGTCTTATTTAGTGACGAGTTATTTAGCAATAAATAGATTAATTAGCAACATATTACCAAAAGATTTGTCTCTTATTTTTTTAATGTATAAACAATTGTATATGTTATTATAGATCTTACATTAACCATAATAAAATAATTATATAATATCAGTGTCTTAGTTCTCTTTTATGCATATGGTAACTTTGACAATTATTCTTAATCGTTAAATCAAATCACTTGGGATTACTGATCAGAACCTAATACGTTCTTTTCTTTTTCCTTAATTTCTCCTTTAGGTAAAATTATTAAGTCAAAGTCAACCATGACAGATCCCTATGACATGGCTGTTGTTTAAGATTTCAACTTACTAGCGTATCGTTGTAGATGTTATTGAGGTTTCCGAGCAACTTCTTCCAATTTAAGAAATGCTAATGGAGGTGGTACTCTCATTTTATTGTACTCTTAATTTTTGGTTGGCTTCACGTGACTGGTTAAGAATATATATCTTTCATTTTTAATTTATTTGATGTAATTTGATTTGACACGAAATTTAAGAAGAATTTTATTTTTGAAAATTTTGACCTTAAAAATTTAAAAGATAAAAATTTTGCGAATCCATTATATTTATGTTACTATAAAAGTTTATCACTAAAGGTAAAATAAATAAATTAAAAAGTTTAAAGTTAAATTATTTTCAAGTATAAAAATATATCATTCTTTTTGAAAAGGACTGATAAGAAAAATATGTCACATAAATTGAAACGAGGGAAGTAATGTATATTGTATTATTTCAAATCGGCTCCTGGAATTTGTGTAATTCTTGACAATATGAGTGTAAAATATGCATTCCATTGACCGATTTTTTTGTTTTAGAATTTCATTTCAATTTGGTGAAATTAATCATGTATATATCTCTGCTCTTTAATTTAAATATTAAACTCCTCCATATCTATCTATATATAATAGGAGAGGCAAAACAATGATAGGATGACAAGTGTCATCACCAGAAAAATCCTAATCTAAAAAGAAAAATAAGGATAGACTGACAAGTGTCATCACAAAAAAAAATTATAATTTTAAAAAGAAAAATAAATAAATAAATAAAATACGCAGCAAAATTAATAAATAAAAATTTGCAAGGGTAAAATAAATACAATGTGATGACCCATCTTATATTTTAGAACTCGAATCAGCGCTCTTAAGCCTTAAAAATCTCATTTTTATCCTCCTCGATTTGCGTGCGCAGTCTGGACAGGTTTCAGGAGAGCTTTTATGTTGAAAACTAATGAAAATAAGATTTTTTGCCTTAAAAGTTAATTTTAGTTGACTTCAATCAACACTTTTGGTAAACGGGCCCGGATCCGTTCTTTGACGGTACCGGTGGGTCCGTATCGAATTATGGGACCTGGGCGTATGCCCGAAATCGAATTTGGAGGTCCCTAACTTGAGTTATGAATTTTTTATGAAAATTAAAAGTTTGTAAATTATTTTTTTTAAGAATTGATTGATATTTGGCATTGTTAGTATCGGGTCCGTATTTTGGTCCCGGAGCCCGGTACAGGTTCATTACGATATTTAAGATATGTCTGTGAAATTTGGTGAGGAACGGTGTTGATGTGACGTGATTCAGACGTCCAGTTGAGAAGTTATGGATTTTAAAGTATTCTTGAGAATTTCATTTGAATTGGTGCTAAATTTAGAGTTCTAAGTGTTATTTTGGCGATTTGATTGCGTGAGCAAATTCGTATGATGTTTTTAGACTTGTGTGCATGTTTGGTTTGGAGCCCCGAGGGCTCGGGTGAGTTTCGGATAGGCCACGAGATGTTTTAGACTTTGGAAATCTAGTTTTTCTGCAGAGTCTATGTTCTGGCATGTCCTTCTTCGCGTTCGCGAAGGTACTCTCGCGGACGCGAAGAGTAAACTGGTGAGGCTGAGACTTCTTCTTCGCGAACGCGAAGGCCTGGTCGCGAACGCGAAGTGATGGGGGGTTTACCCTTCGCGAACGCGACCTGACCATCGTGAGCGCGAAGCACTTGGGGACCTGGGGGAGGGTTGGTCATGTTCTTCTACGCGAACGCGTCCACTGGGTCGCGAACGCGAAGGCTAAGGGGGAGTTGCCTTACGCGAACGCGTAGGAAGACTCGCGAACGCGAATGCCTTGGGCCGTTGTGCATCGCGATC